TCTTTTCCTGTATGTGTGCTCATGGGTGCAATATAACATTAGCAAGCTGTGGTCAGATGCACTCCTGAAGATATTATGCACAGTAGCATTGGGGTAAGAAGCCATCCAATTCAAGGATCCAAAAAGCCTGTCCAGCTTTTCCTCCACAAATCCCTCTGCTTCCCTCTGATTACCCCATGTGAATGGATGCCCCACCATATTGATTTCCAGCATTCCCAGCCTGCTAATAAATTCCCTGAATGGGGAAAAAGAAGCTTGAGTTCTCATTCTCCCCCCTTGCTTCTCCTCATTGCAGATAATATCATTCATATCCCCCCCAGAAACCAATGGTCTCCCCAACGTTGCTTAGCTTCTTCCAGGTACTCCCATTGCTCTTTTCTGACTTGAGTATCAGTACTCGCATATATAAATATCCCCCAGCCCGTTTTAGAATGCTTTTCATCCCAAAATTCAACCTCCAGGCAGAATGAATGCTTGATGATCTTGAAGACAATTGTATCACTATCCCAGCACAAAAACAACCCTCCACTTCTACCTGATGGTTCTACAGATGACCAACAATCCCCCACAGCCAGGTTCTTACAAATAGTATTAATAAATTTGTTTTTTTTTTTTGTTTTAGAAAGAAAAAGAAAATTGGGGTGATGGAGCCTCCAAGTCTCCTTGATTTGGGAAACCGTAGAGGGGCCACCCGCACCTCTACAGTTCCACACCCCTACCTTCATTGGTCACATTGTGGCCCTTGAAGGCTAGCCACATTCACCTCAGATTGGACTGTTTTCAACTTCTTGTTCTTGCTGGTAGCTTTGGCTGCCTCAACACTACCTGATTGGGTGAGAGCAAGGATTGCTCTTTTTCCTCTGAGAGATTTAGGAATATCAGGGTTAAGAGAGAGTGTGGTAATAGGATTGGGATTAGGCTTCCTCTTTCATCCCCTGGTTTTCATAAGCACAGGGGTGTCAGACATTGGGGCACTCACTTCAGGCTGTGATGGGACATTAGGTATCTCTGGGTTGGTGATATTTGGGTCAGTAAGAATAGGAGAATTATAGGCTTCTGTATCCATCTTGGAGCTCAGGGGAGTGGTTTGAAAGTTATGAAGGATGGTAGTGTTAAGAGCGGATAAAGGGAGAGACAAGGTTAAAGGGATGACAGGGGCTAATTTCTGAGTGGTTGGATTTGTGTGAGTAATGATGGTTGTATCAGGTATGCATTTCTGAGGGGGTGGATTTGAGTGAGTAATGATGGTTGTATCAGGAATGCTAACTGGGTCTCTAGGTATAAATCTGGAGTTGGACTGCAAGGAGTTAGAATTATTGTTCTCTCTTTGAGTGGTTGAGGGGTTTCTGAAGCCTGCATTGCTGCTGGTAAATTGCTCCTCTGAGTTGGCATGTTGGCTGAATGAAGGGGAGAAGAAGGCCTCAGATGCCTTTAACCATTCTCCATATCTACCTTCTTGGAGATTCTGATGCTTGATATCTTCTTCTCTCTTAAGACAGCTCTTGTCTAGATGCCCCAACACCCCACAATAGTAGCACAAGCTTGTAAGCTTCTCATATTTGAACTGGACCAAAATCTTCTTGTTGCCCAGTTGAATTGTTACACATCTAGATAATGGCTGGTGAATATCTATGGCCACCAGCAGTCTGATGCATTTCCCTGCTAATAACCCCCCTTGCGGCACCACAACATCCTTTGTTTGCTTAAAAGCTTTACCGATTTTTAGCCCCACCTCAGCGGACATCCAATGCAGTGGCACGTTCCATGCTTGAACCCAGATATCTAGGCTATCGAAATCCGGGTGATCAGGTGAGATGTCTTCCCTCCATTCTTGAAGAATAAGGTATTGACCTTCAAAGGTCCAGCATTTACCAGAACGGACTTTAGATTTGTCTTCATCATTCGCAAAGATAAGCTGGAAGAAATTGGAGCAGATCTCTCTAACCACCACCGGGGCTCGAATGAGCCACATCTGGTTAACTGCTCTTCTTAGCCCAATAATCTCGGCTTTTTTATGCCCAATAATCTTACCCATGAGACTTCGCCCACATTCAACAACACTGATCCTCGTGTCTCCTGTTTCTATCGCAATTATGTTCGCCTCATTATCAGAAAGGTTGAATGAACCGAGCTTATTCACAATATCTTCCTCCATGAACTCTGAACACCAGCACTCAATTGAAGGATTCAGAAATCTGCAACACAAATCAAGGGAAAGAAGAAAAAACGAAACCCTAGGGGGCAACTGGTCAGAAGGAAATAAAAGCAAAGAAGCGAGCACAGAACACAAATTTAGGTTGCGGGTGAGTGGAATAAATGCTGCTCAATAACTGCTAAACCTGGATTTACTCCACAAACGTGAAGATTTAGGAGCATTACGCTTATGAACTCGTCACTAGAGAGAATATGCTCCACAAGCGTGAAGATGGGGATTGGTCTTTTCATATAATAGTTGAAGTCGTGTTCTGTATAAAATTTGCTTGACTGGTTCTTTCGGTGACCTGGCCATGGGCCTATGGCTATAATTGAATATTGGACATTGTGCGCACATGCCATAACTATTAGAAATAAAGACACCCTATATCCTTTATAAAATATCTATTAATATATAATAAGAATTAACTTAATTTACTTTTAGAAACATTTTCCCGCCAATTTCATTAATTATTGTCTAAAAATAGTAAATTAACAAAAATCAATATAATTAATGTACATAATCTTTTTAGTCAAATATTAATGGTTATTACCTTTATTAGTTGAATTTAAATTTAGGATGATTTAATTTTATGGAAACAAATATGGGGGTATTATAGAAACTTTCGAAATCCTTAGTTTAAATATACAGACTTGATTGAGCAATTATAGAGAATTAATCGTTAATCTTTATATCTACATTATATTTCCTGTATTGAGTAATACATAATAAATTAATACTTATGTTATTTTTCATACATCTTTTTGTTGGCATAGTAGAATTGCAAGGTTATCTTTTTCTTCGTAGACAAGATAACTAAAAACAAAAATATAAATAACAGTTATGTGCCGCTAAAAAATATTTTGGACAAAACGTAGAAATAACTTTTAGAAAATACTTAATTAATTTATGGTATAAAGTTGACAAAATTAATAAATCCAATTTTGGTATAAATTTGATGATTTTATTTTAAGTATATGATAGCCATTTTTATTTTTTCATAGAAAATGTGTTCTTAATAATAAATGTCCTTTGTGCTATAAAGTGGGTGATTTATTTTTGGTACGAAATGTTCGAATTTAAATAGTATGAATTTTATTTGGAATGGATAGAAGTATATTTGAAATTATTTAAAACAAAATAAGAGCATTTACAATGCATAAATGTTGTTATCACATAAATTTTGACAAATGTCAATTGTTTATATGAATTGTGAACCACATAAGATATTTGTTATGTTCACAACTTTATATTGTGAGCAAACATAATATTGTCAATTGACAAAAATAAAAATAAAATATAAATAAGAAACAAAAAATAAATTAATAATTAGATATTTTTAAAAAGTTATTCCATAATATTTAATTAAACACTAAATCCGGCTATTTGGAATCAATTATATTTAAAAGCAGTATTATTATGTAACCAAATGTTAAGATATTTAACCACAAACCATATATCTTTTAGACTTATCAATTTATTTTAATATAATATAAATTTACCGTAAAAATGAGAGTTGGACTTTACAATAATCACGTTATCAATATTAACAATATAAATGCTCAATAAAGTTTAATTATTTGGACTGTACACTTTATTATATACATATAAATAAATCGCCTATTTTAACTTTAAATATTTTATTTTTTCATATATGCAATGTATGCAACTTAACTAAAAGTAAAAAATATTTTAAAGATTTCATTTCAATCATGGTAACATGTTTTTTAAAATTTCCACAATTTTTGATTCACTAATACACTACCCATGTAAACATCTTTTTGTTATAATATACAATTTTCTTTTTATCATTTTAAATCATTTTCTTATCACTTTTTTTATGAAACATATTTTTCATTTAAAAACCGTGATTTACATGTTCTCCGATTCATTTCGATATTTTTGATCTACAAATGATAAAATATCGTTGTTTTTTTTAAACGTAATTATTTTTATAAATTTGTTTTACAAAGGATACAACCAAAATTCCAAATCTCTGTTAAAACATAATAAAACAAAATTATTCTCAATTTTTGGAATGAATTTGACATAAAAAATGAGAATGATTGTCAAAAAANAAAAAAAAAAAAAAAAAAAAAAAGGATATACTCGAAATCCACACTTTAACTTTAAGGTAACAATTTTCCTTATATTCGATATAAAATTAAACTTCACCATATAATCATATCTTTAGTATCTATCACAATATTACATATTTTCACTGTAGTTTTATTTCATGGTGTTAACATTTCGAAAATCAACAAAAAACTGAAGGAATGAGGTGTCTATGCAGTTCACAATTACCAAGTGGAGCAATCTTGGTAAATATCGATTTACGGTTACCAAAGTGAAAAATAATTTTACATAGAAAAACAAAGAGCTTTTTAATAATGTATGATTTTTTCATGATGATCATTTTACGATTACCTAACAAATGTTCGATGTATTTTAACTTATTGATTAATAACCTTCAATTATAAATTTTACCAAAATAAGTACAGCCCGTGCATCGCACGGGTACGTACTAGTTGTTTATAAAGTCATCAGCAGAAAAATATTGAAATCTGAGCTCAGTCCATTTGTAAATTATATATAGAAGTACAAAATCACAAGATATATCATATGTTATGTAGCTAAAAAAACTGGAAAACCTGTGGTCATAATCTAATATTGGTTACAGGGTGGAAGAGAGGGGCCGCTCAATGAGGGGCTTGTTTATAGCAGCATATTGGCAAAACCACATGCATTACCACTGCTCTACATTGCCCCCTTCAGTCAGAATTTCGATATGATTATGTAATGGATTTCACTTGCCTTCTCTAATCCCGAGTTGCTGGAGCGAATCTGAACCAACAAGGAAAACGCGCTTTTGTGTCTGATACCGGAAAACAACTACTCCTTTATATGCTGTTCTTGGGACACCATCCTTAATAAAAAAAAAAAAAAAAAAAAAAAAAAAAAAAAAAAAAAAAAGGATAATAACCTATCCTGGGGACTGGGGGCTGAAATAGACTAAAATGGAACGATAAACAAACAATAACCACCTCAGTAACTCTATAACAGCTGTTACCTTCCACTCTTCAAAAACACCAAACTGACTAGCGATGTGCTCAAAGCCTGACTGGTCTCGGTACAAAATACGAATGTCACCGTCTATGTTATTTGTCTTCAGAACAGCATCGGTCCCATGCACTGGGGTAGAGTTCTTAAGCAATCCAGCAAAGTACTCAGCATACTTGTCCTAAAATAACACAGATTTACAAATTATTTTCAAGCAACAACATTTTCACTCTTCCTTTTCATCTATTTCTTATACTTTGTTTAGTGCTCCCAGCATAAAAATTTACCTCCTCTAGGTAGCTCAGATCCATAGACTTCCAGTCAACCTTCCAGAGAGAGATCATAGGATGAGCCTTTAGACAACAGCAGGCAAAACGATATTACAGTGAGGAACTCAGTGCAAAATTGGTTACACACCTGAACATCATTCAGTCTGATAGGTTCAAGGTATTGTTTGAAGAATTGCCCCATACTGGAACCCTGCAAGAAAAAAATAAAATAAAAATAATAATAGTAATAATAAACCCATAATTCAGGTATTCAGAAGCAATTGGGCGGTGACAGTCTTACATGTTCCCCAAAATTATATGTTCTGCACACTTCAGGGCGAATGAACTGTCTTCCTCTACGATTCTCTTTCAGTCTTAGCCAGTCATCCCAATAAGTAATTGTTTGGTTAAGAAAAAAACTCTGAAGATTGCAGCAAAGTATTATATACAAGAACAATTATATATCACAAAAATGCAGATATAAACTTAAAATTGTGTATGTTCACCAATATGATTATTAAAGGATATGCCTTTGGCCATTTAGGCGACAGTTCATCCCATGTAGATCTTGAGAGCATCCATCCAAGACCAGGGAAAAAATCAGAACGATAAAGTACATCTGCAAGATAGTCTATGAATCAGATGAATCACACTGTATGGACTATTTGCATTTACGTTGACCAAACCGTTATAAATATGAATTCCCAAATCAGAGATCTGAAGTTAAAGTTAGTATCATTATCAATTTCAGTGTAATAATTATAGCATAATTGCGCATAACAGCACAGGAAAAAAATAAATAAATAAATAAATAAATAATACAAAATTTCAGAATGGATGATTGCATGCAGACTCAGCAGACAGGACTTATTCACATAAGATGAAAGATGGAAGCGAAGTTAGAAAAAAGGCAACACATCAGAAATAATACAGTTGCTGAAAACAATATGGTGAAAGACACAAAATAATATGTTTCAAGAACAAAATTTTGCATTTGGACTAGAAGTAGACAAAAGAGTACTTTGCATCTCGACTTCTCTCTTTAAATGAAACCAAATTGAAATTAAAAAATAAGTTTATCCTAGTGGTGTTATTGACCTCGAGGATTTGAATACTGAAAGGAACTCTGAGGGTTTGATTAGATATGGATCATAACCGGTTTTAATTGGTTTTGACCTATCAAGTTATTTTGTTTCCAATCACCACATTTAAAACCCAACTCAACCCAACTGTCCTACTTTTTATAAATATAAATAAATCATACCAATCAAACATGCTCACCCATCATATCAACTTTAATTCACTATTCATCTATTCACACAATTTCAACTACCTATCAGTTCTGATAACCTCTCTTTCTACTTTTACGTCACATCAACTTTACTCATTACATTTTAAATATATT